ACTGTTGTTACTCACATAAGTTACTGTTGATACTCACATAAGTTACTGTTGATACTCACATAAGTTACTGTTGATACTCACATAAGTTACTGTTGATACTCACATATGTTACTGTTGGAACTCACATAAGTTATTGTTGATATTCACACAAGTTCAAATTGGTAAACACATAAGTTACTGTTGATGCTCACATAAGTTACTGTTGATACTCACATAAGTTACTGTTGGAACTCACATAAGTTATTGTTGATATTCACACAAGTTCAAATTGGTAAACACATAAGTTACTGTTGATGCTCACATAAGTTACTGTTGATACTCACATAAGTTACTGTTGGAACTCACATAAGTTATTGTTGATATTCACACAAGTTCAAATTGGTAAACACATAAGTTACTGTTGATACTCACATATGTTACTGTTGGAACTTACATAAGTTACTGTTAATATTTATATAAGTTACTGTTGATACTCACATAAGTTCCTGTTGGTACTCACATAAGTTACTGTTGATACTCACATAAGTTACTGTTGATACTCACATATGTTACTGTTGGAACTTACATAAGTTACTGTTAATATTTATATAAGTTACTATTGATACTCTCATAAGTTCCTGTTGGTACTCACATAAGTTACTGTTGATACTCAAATACAGTGTTCTGTGTACTTCTCTCCTTAGGAGTGGTATTCTTCAAGCTGGAGACAGAATTTTGGCTGTTAACAGACAGAGTACGCTCGGAATGACAGCAGATGAGGTCACATCACTCATTCAGTATTCTCTTCCTCGTGTGATCCTCGATATTGAGTTTGATGTTGCGGAATCTATTGTTCCTAGCAGTGGAACGTTTACTGTAAAGTTACCTAAGCATGGAACCGGGTTAGGGATCACTATTGCTGGTAAAGATGACCAATCTTTGTTTTGTTTTTGATAATCAGAATGTATGTTTACTTTGATTTCTGACTGTACTACTATATACCAAAATGAAAACATCTTCTTTAACTGTTCAAATATATTCTGACTCTAAAGTTGAAGTTTATATTTATTTAAAGGAAATGTTTATATTGACTGACATTAAACAATATAAAAATTGATTAGTTTATTTTTTAAAGAATAATACTTAGCATTACCCAGTGGCTTAGCAGTAAGTCTGAAGGCTTATGATGTTGAAAACCTGGTTTCAATATGTGTGGTGGGCACAACTCAGACAGCCCACATTTAAGCTTTGTGCTTAACTATAAACAAAGAAACGGAAATGAAAGCATTTATAACTAAATGTTGTAACAAAATACTTATAAACTAAATATAACTTATGTATGAAACAGCACAAAGATACCGTAAACAGGGAGATGCCTTGATTATTTCTGACATAAAGAAGGGAAGCATAGCACACCGAACAGGTACTCTTCAACCAGGAGACAAGCTCTTGGCCATTAATACTATACGTATGGATAACTGTACGATTGAAGATGCAGCAGAAATTCTCATGGCGGTTGAAGATGTGGTCAAACTTAGAATTCGAAAAGATGAAACATATTCAGGTTTGTCCCTGTGTTGTCTTTACTGTCTACATTTTGTAGTCCCTGTGTTGTATTTACTGTCTACATTTTGTAGTCCCTGTGTTGTCTTTCCTGTCTACATTTTGTAGTCCCTGTGTTGTCTTTACTGTCTACATTTTGTAGTCCCTGTGTTGTCTTTCCTGTCTACATTTTGTAGTCCCTGTGTTGTCTTTCCTGTCTACATTTTGTAGTCCCTGTGTTGTCTTTACTGTCTACATTTTGTAGTCCCTGTGTTGTCTTCATTGTCTACATTTTGTAGTCCCTGTGTTGTCTTTACTGTCTACATTTTTTAGTCCCTGTGTTGTCTTTACTGCCTACATTTTGCAGTCCCTGTGTTGTCTTTACTGTCTATATTTTCTAGTCCCTGTGCTGTCTTTACTGTCTATATTTTCTAGTCCCTGTGTTGTCTTTACTGTCTATATTTTCTAGTCCCTGTGTTGTCTTTATGGTCTACATTTTGTAAAACAATTTTACTTTTGTATTTATATTTTTTATTGCTTGAGAACCTTATAGTAACAAAGTAAAAGGAATCATTAGTGAATGTTTGTAGCCTTAACTTAGAAAGAGGTATGTAAGTAAGTTAAAAAGTCTAGATAATAATAGAATTATTATTAAATAATATAATCTAATTCCACAATAATCAGTTTTTAACTGTATTTACAGTTGCAGCTTGTATATTTATAGACTTTTTGAAAAAAGTTGGAAAAGAAATGAATAATTTTAAAAGGTATTTGTAAAATAAGTTGTGCAGTTCAATTGTTTTGAATTGTAATATTGTCTTATGTTACTAGAAACTTCAAAGTTTTTCTCATTGTTTCGGTTGAGTACTATTGCATCATAATATTCCATAGCATGTAGAATGTTTGAGATTTCAGTCAGGCTATAAATACACGTACAAAAGATAGTTTGAGTTAGTTATATGGATAGATAGTTAGAGGAATAATCTGTCTTGTCAATTGGGCTCTAAGGTAACTAAACCAACCTGTTTGAGGTTTTATTATTACAGGCCTTCTCTTCTCACCCTTCAAAAAAGCTCTAAGCAGTGTCTAAATGCCACAGGATAAAGCAGATTATAAACTATGTATATAAATGTAGAATAGCTTGAGAAGTAATTTAAAGTTTTATTTGAAATATTTGGTGAAGAAGAAGAATCAAACTTAATGGAAAGTTTACAAACAAACCAAGATCTTGGAATTTTTTTATAGTTTCTGTAGACATTCTTTTCATTCCTGAAATTGTTTTTATGTTAAATTATATTTGTTTGAATTCTACGGTAATTGTCTTCCACAACAAGACATCAGGTAAGCCTAGTTTGCCTTAGTGAGCATAGTAAATAATAAAAAATATTGTGACAACTCAAAATCCCTATCAGTATTGAGTTTATCATATTCAAACAATGTGCAGAAGTAAAATAACTTACTTTTACAATTTCTAAATTCCTTAATGATAATTGGAATATGATACACATAATTATGAATAAATGAATTAAATTACTGTTAATTTTAGAGAATCTCAAAGTTATGTTAAACTCAATCAAGATCCAGCAAGCCAATTTGAAAGTAAAGTAGATGACATACTCAACTTTGTGAAACTCAATGAAACATCCAACTTCTATAAAACAACAACTAAAACCCTCTTACTTGCAAATACTGGAATTTTATGGTCTTTGGAAGATACATAAACCAAATTTCACTGTAAGGCCTATTGTTTCAGCATATGGATCACTCAAAGAAGGTTTTGTCTTAGATAATGGAGACACTTTTACATGGACTCTTGATTCTGGTACCTGTCCACTTACACAGTACACAAGGTTTCTTACAGAATGTAGCAAATGTTCAATTACACCTACAGCCAAACAACATCCTGCTTTGTTTTAATATCCATCCATACCTATCGAAGAAACTATACCAACTATCACTGAACTCTTAAAAGAAGATACTGTAGTCTTTCTGAGATTATCAGTTCATGTAAAAGAAGCAGCCCTTTCTTGTATTCTACATACGTTATTTACCAACACAGTTTGTGTAACAGAAGCAGCCCATTCTTGTATTCTACATACGTTATTTACCGACAAATCCACATCACTTTCGGATTCGTTTTTCTGGGTGATGAAAAACTTATAACAATTTTTTGCTTGAGTTTAATTTGAAATTGGTGCTTTATTCTATTATTCAACATGCAAACCAATATATTATTGAATATTTTATGTTCTTGTTTCTCTTGGCAAACGAAACATAGTTTTAACAATATTTATGTTAAATTGAAAGATAATATGCATCACTACATACACTAGTAAATAGGAATATGTTTCACTTATCACTGTTGTATTAATAGTTATATATTCACATTTATTAGAAGACCCAGAAGAAAGTGGTGTAGTAATATACACTGTGGAATTATTACGTCATGGTGGACCACTAGGAATCACCATCTCTGGAACAGAAGACCCATTCGATCCCATACTTATCTCAGGTCTTACTGAAGGTGGCTTAGCTGAAAGGTCAGAACTTAACACAACAATTCAGTATTAATGTCAGTTTTCTAATGCATCAATTCAGTATTACAGATGGCTTTGTAACAAATCAATTAAGTATTAAAGTCAGGTTAGTAAAACATCAATTTAATATTGAAGTCAACTTTGGAACACACCAATTCAGTATTGAGGTCAGACTTGTAACACACCAATTCAGTACTGAAGTCATGTTTCTAACAAATTATTCAGTGTTCAAATTGGCTTTGTAATACATCAATTCAGTATTAAAGTTGGCTTTGTAACACATCATTTTAGTATCAAAGTTGGCTCTGTAACACATCATTTCAATATCAGAGTGTTTCATAACACATCAATTCACGATACAACTTTCTCTTGCTTAAAGCTATCTTGGCCTTGGCTTACCCTCTAAGCTTTGCTAAAATTTTATCACTAAAGCACACCAATATTTTATATCCCTTTATTTTCGTGCCACTTCAGAACGTGTGCTGATCGTGTGAGTACCCTTCACCAATCATACTGTGCCATCTATGCTGGTCCTGACATGGCCAGGTGGTTAGGGTGCTCAACTCTCAATCTGCGGGTTCGAAACATGCTCGCCCTTTCAGCCGTGGGGATGTTATAATGTTATGGTCAAACCCACTATTCATTGGTAAAAGAGTAGCCCAAGAGTTGGCAGTGGGTGGTGATGACTAGCTGCCTTCCCTCTAGTCTTACACTGCTAAATTAAGGTTAGTTAGTGCAGATAGCCCTCGTGTAGCTTTGGCGCAAAATTCAAAAATGAACAAACAAACCATCTATACTAGTGCAGGTAGCTCCCTCTACAGTTCTAGCACAATCCTCACTTTCTTGATTGGCATTCTAGTGTATAGACATGTGTGTTTTAACTCATTCTCCATGTGACTACAAAATTTTAATTGTGTTTGATCACAAGTTTAAATCAGTTTCAACTTCAGGTTTTGACTTATTGTGTTTTATTTCCATTGTATCTACTTGTTTGTTTTAGAAATATTTTATCGGAAATACATTTTCAGTGTAAGAAAACGTTAACTTTCATTCTAAACTAACAACAAGGTAAAGTTTTAGTCACAATTAACAACTTGGACATTATAAAATATAGTTTTAGTCTAAACCTCAATTAGAACATTAATTTTGTTACTTACTTTACAGTTTGCTGTTTTCTTTACCAAACATCACAACTAAAACAAGGGTTTTATAAATTGATCATGTAACATCATTATAAAGTTTACATATGATGAACTAGCTAAAAAGTCAAGATTTTAAAACTTTGATATGTGTATGTATTTTCTTTTTTACATTTAAAAATCATCATCCTTATTTATATTTTGAAACTAGAAAGGCACAAAATCTCAAAGAAATAATTTAAGTTTGAAGTATTTGATTAAAACGGTTTATTGTATACATTTAACAAGAAACAGTAATTAACTGGACCTACCATTCTTTTTATTGTACATTTCTTTATTATAAGTTATCTTGGATTTCTCATACAGGACAGGTGCTATTCATGTTGGTGATTGTCTCTTAGCAATTAATGGGCAAAGTCTGAGAGGTAAACCACTCAGTGATGCAATTTTCATGTTGCAAAACTCAGGAAATGCTGTTACTCTCAAGATCTGCAAGCAATCTGGCGATAAATGTGAGTTTTTCTGATAGATATATCTGAGTATTAAAGTTTAGAGTTGTGAAGTATCAGTTTATCATATTTTCAAAGTGTTCCTTAGTTCTAGTAACTTTGTAAGTTTTCATGATGGATATATCTGAGTATTAAAGTTTAGACTTATGAAGTATAAGTTTATCATATTTTCAAAGTGTTCCTTAGTTCTAGTAACTTTGTAAGTTTTCATGATAGATATATCTGAGTATTAAAGTTTAGAGTTATGAAATATAAGTTTATCATATTTTCAAAGTGTTTCTTAGTTCTAGTAACTTTGTAAGTTTTCATGATGGATATATCTGAGTATTAAAGTTTAGACTTATGAAGTATCAGTTTATCATATTTTCAAAGTGTTCCTTAGTTCTAGTAACTTTGTAAGTATTAAAATGAAAAGAAAGTTGTACATGTTTATAGAAATGATTGATTTAGAAAACTGTTATGTGTTTTATTAAACCTAACTTTAATCACTGGATGTTTTTATTTTTCTAGACCACCTACCAAGGAGAGAGAAAACAGAGGTAAACTTTGTTAGATTATAAACTAATTATTTAAACAAGAGTATTAAAACATCATGAATTTTAAATTGAAGTAGGGATCTCGCTACAAAATGTACTGAAACAAGAACTAAAACCACAATCACAAATTTTTAAAGTTTAATCCATACTTTGGCCTACAGTTAAGTGTATAAAGCTGCCAAAGTAGGGATTAAATTTTATAAATTTGTGATTGTGGTTTTAATTCTTGTTTCTGTACTCTTTTGTAGCAAGATCTCTACTTCATTTCAAAATTCATAATTTTTCAATACTCTTGTTTATTTACTTTTTGTGTTATACGTATATAAAGTATATATTACCTGTAGAAACTGTCGCGTGTATATCTATCTATATGTAGTACCATCCATTGGGTTGAAAAGATAAATATTTAAGTATGTGCATGATATGTTTACTACTTATATTATATCTGTATGAATATATATATATATATATATATTGCTATACCATTATCAGTTCTGGTTGTCAACTTACTGTGTTAGTCTGCAATAGCTATAATTTTTATGGATGATGTTTTATTATTAAAAAATAAACTGAAAGATAATGGATATAAAGACAGACAATTAAAGAAATACATTACTTTATTTTTAAATAGATATAAAAATATTTCAGAAAATCTCACTATCAATTAAGGAAAAAATTGTATAAAAATAAAGAGGGAGTTAGTTATGTTAGCTCATAAATAGCTATTAGTAGTTTTTCAAGTAATTTTATTCAGTATAACTGGGACAGAAAGACTAACTTCAAGTAGCTGGACTTATCTCAGCATTCCCATGTTATACTTGAATAAATCTTCAAGAGAAAGGGAGGAGGTTGGAAGTTAGAACTATATAAGAACTTTTAAGGTAGGGTACATAGTTCTATTTAATATCTTATAGTTCTATTTAATATCTTATAGTTATATTTAATATGTTATAGTTATATTTAGTTCTATTTGATATCGTATAGTTCTGTTTAGTTCTACTTAATATCTTATAGTTCTATTTAGTTCATTTTAATATCTTTTTGTAAGGGTGGAGGTTGGGAGTTTAATTAGTAGAAATATTAGGGTGGCTCCATTTCAATTCATTTCTGCTTTAGGAAATTTAAGGGTAACTGCCTTCCCAAACCAGCTATAGACAGTGAAAAGCAGTAGAAGCTGAGATGTTGTGGGTGTAAGCACTCGGCTTCGTACCCTTATTTGATTGATTTTTTTATGATTTTCCATGGCGGCTGACTAAACTGACATCGGCATTTGGATTTTGTCTGATGGGATATCCCCAATGCATTTGGGTGCTATTACTACAGACATCCGTTATGACAATAAATTGACAACCTGGACCGATAACAGTATAGCGATATGCAACTAATGTATTCAGTAGTTTTTAAGTCTGTTTATTTATATATATATATATATATATGGATTTTTATAAGAAGGGTAAAAATGAAAGGCCACCATCGAGCCAAGTACTGTGAGGGAATATTGGACTAAATGGCCGAGTTGTTTTTTGCTGTAGGTTCTCTGACGTGATCAGTCAGTCAACTGGAATATTCGTTGTTTTAGAAATTTTTAAAAACTTGTAGTGGAGTGATTTATGACCTTTTGTCACTGTAATTCAAAGTACAATGTTGTATCCCAGTAGATTTTTATAAGGTGGTTAGTGGGAAAGCACTTGATTTATGACCTTTTGTCACTGTAATTCAAAGTACAATGTTGTATCCCAGTAGATTTTTATAAGGTGGTTAATGGGAAAGCACTTGATTTATGACCTTTTGTCACTGTAATTCAAAGTACAATGTTGTATCCCAGTAGATTTTTATAAGGTGGTTAGTGGGAAAGCACTTGATTTATGACCTTTTGTCACTGTAATTCAAAGTACAATGTTGTATCCCAGTAGATTTTTATAAGGTGGTTAGTGGGAAAGCACTTGATTTATGACCTTTTGTCACTGTAATTCAAAGTACAATGTTGTATCCCAGTAGATTTTTATAAGGTGGTTAGTGGGAAAGCACTTTTTTTTTGGCTGCCATATTTGTCCTTGTCGATCCCTACTATTAAGTAATGCCGTACTTAATGATGATTGTGACAAAATGAAAAACATGAATTATCTTTAAATTTAACAAATTTTAGCTGTTTTTGTCATTAAGTGCAGTATGTTGGCTTTCTTTATTTCAGACAAAATTACATCATTAGATTGAGAAAAATACTATTGTTAACATTTGACATAATTTTATTTAAAACTGAAATAATTACAGTTTCTAATTACTTTTCTTCAATGATTTTCTGGCCATTGTTGAAACAATACTCATGATAACATTGTTAAAAGCATGAATGTAATACATTAATCAATATTTCAAATGGATCTATATATCATCCTCATGCATCCAATTACTTCAGCTGGCATGTGTGTTGTTGTTTTCTATCATTTCAGCATGAAGTTTCCATTCTTATATTATATTGACCAATGTTGATAATATACATTGTTACAAAATGTTTTTCATTGTTTGTTCATTTTTCTCTCTTGATAGTTCAGCAGTAACCTTGAAGACTAAAAATCTGGGTTCGGTACCCATGGTAATCAAGTGCAGATAACCCATTGTATAGCTTTGGCTTAAAAACAAACAGTTTTTTAACTTTTTTTGTGCTAGTAAAAAATTGGACAATTTGATATTATTTATGTTAAGTAAAAAAATTTAGTAGTTTTCCTTAGTGTTGTTGAAAATGTTCATTCATCATAAAAAATTAATACCTGAATCAAAGTGAGGAGCTTTGTCTCTGTGTTATTCTACAACAAGAAAATAAAGAAATAGTTCTATATAAGCACAAGATTTATAAAATCAGAATTGACTGTTTCCTCACTAAGTGTTTCATGCTTCAGGCTCTACCACCAGATTCAGACAGCTACCCGAGTAGTTTCCGAAGTCCACCTCCTAGTGTGGACAGTGCTGTGGAATTGTGGGATAGCTCAGGATTGGAAATGTCTGTCAGTGGAGTGAGGAGCAAGCAAACACCACAAACTGACAGAAAAGTTTCAAGTTAGTTTACATCATCAAGTATTCTGTTTAGAGCACAAACCCTTTTGTAATTCTCATCTTTTTTTATCTTGATGCAACTGATTTTGAGCTAAATAATTCTGTAAATTCATTTTATGTGAGTAAGCATTGGTGTATGTCAGTAATTAAAATCCGAAAAATAAAAATATATTTTAGTTTCATTATTGATAAATTCAAATAGATTTAAAAACATTATTTTTTCATAGAACAACATAAGTTAATGAACACATGTTTGAAATAAAGGACACTATAATTATATAAGTTTTAACAATTGCATGTTTTTTGTACCAGAAGCACTGACAACTCACAATTTGTTTGCTGACATAAATAAGAATGGAAATGGTAGTCCTCAAGGTAGACCCAGCTTGAAAGTGGACAGAGCAGCAGCCTGGGAAGATGCTGAGTGGGACCAGAGTCACATGAGTAGCCACTCCCTTATTTCAGAAGGTGACAGTAAGTCTGACTGGTCTAAAGTGTTGGAAGACCTGGAAACCTGTGGTCAGTCCGAGCTCCTACGGCAGATCGAAGAAAGCATCCTGGGTGGCGACCCAACCAATGTGCTCAACCAACACTTCGACTTTAGCAGTCCAGTCCAACTCCAGAGTGAAGATGACGTGTACAGGTCAAAGCCCGTGACAGTGTCGGAAATTCCACTCGTAGAAAGAGACACTCAAGGTAGACTCTTTTTTACTGATCTTCCAGATGAAAACAGTTCTCTGCAGGGCTCAAATTCTAATACATTACTTCATTCCTTTGTAAGTCAAAACACAGAACACCAGCACTCTATAGTGGATGACAACAAGTTCTTACATTCATCCTACGAGGCTTCGGCTATTACCCCAGTTCCTGTGGAAATTCACAGAGTGACCTTATTTAAAGATGCAGTTCATGATGACTTTGGTTTTAGTGTATCAGAGGGCTTGTTTGATGGTGGGGTATATGTGAACTGTGTAAGACCCGGAGGACCTGCCGATCTCAGTGGCTTAATGAAGCCACTAGACAGGATACTACAGGTAATTTCTGTGGTAAACACATTATCACAGATGGTACCTCACTATATTTTCAGTGTAATAGTTTGAAAGTAAAATCATTTATAAATATGGATTTAAAGTACTGAGGCTACAGTTTTCTAGTATAAAATCACATGACAACCAAGAAGATCTAAACTCAAGTATTTCAACCAGTATTTATAATGTAAGGATGGTAAGAGACACTTCTTAACCACATTGAACTACATATATCACAAAGAACACTTGTTAGTAAATAATATATCATTTTTCCAAGCTTAGCTATAAAATATGTGGCTAAAAGTATAGTAGTTGGGAATGTTTGATTATAGCTTAATGCATGATGACATAATGAATTGATACTAATAAATATACATACAATTCTTGTTGAACATCAGATGACTCGGTACTTTCAAAGGGACACGTTGTACATTTATATTGACAAAAACTCAAAACACTTATACGTGCAGTCTTTAGTTGTTTAAGTTGTGTACAGTAATTTTGTTTTCTGAAACTGAGTTTCATATTTCTATTAAAGAGTGGTCCAAACATTTATACATGTTGTGTTTTTTAGCTGAATGATACGAAGGTGTGTCACTCTGACTGTTCTACAGTAGTACCAATGATTGCTTCAGCTGGTGAACAGCTTCATCTGATTATCACCAGACCAGCTTACAAAGAACAAGCAGCCTGTAACCAATGGGCAGATGTCGGTCAACATTCACCAGCAGAGAGTGCTCATCTAGTTACAAAAACTTTATAAGAACATTTGTTTATAATAGGAAACTATCAACAAAAGATTAGTACAATGATGATTTATCATGAAACTTTTTGAGTCCTGCAAGTAAAGAATATAAAACTGTTACCAAAAGATCAGTACATCGATGGTTTATCACAAAACTTTTTATGATGTGCAAAATATATAATATAACTTAGGAGAATTTGTTGAGAAAAAATGAATACTCAGGTTTTTCATGTGCATATTTCCTTATTATGTTCTCTGCACCAAGGTTTGAATTTATTAACATTAGATCACCATTCATGTCTAATACTTGGAACATACTACAGTAATATTCTTGAAACCTGTTATTTTTTATTACACTTATCTTTGTTCCTGTCATGCACATTCACCTTCACTGAAGTTATCAACAATTTTTAGATTGAGTTAATGTTGTACAGTTTAACCAGTGGTAGATTTACATCAAACATTTGTATAAAGAGTTTTTTGGGCAGATTTTTTTCCCTTGTTTAGGGATCTGGGGTTGTTTATATAAAACGTAATTTAACCAAGTTGTATTAGACTAATGTTATGTTGTGTTTAACATTATGTTTGTCAATACAGTGTGTTAATCCTGTGTGGAACACCTTCATGTAGGTGTTTAGTGTTAGCTGTATAGTTCGTGAATTGAAGTAGGTTCATCTTATGGTTGGAACACTTGTTAGGGGATGTTAATAATTATTGCATTTACCCATAATTAATATTTTTGTTAGATATAGCTGTGTAAACTGTATAAAAAAAGCCTTTCCCTTACCTCTATTAATCAAATTCTTTTATTCCCTCTCCTAGATCTGTTAAATATAACTGCATACCTAATGACATCTTTTCTCCACTTCTCTTTAATTATTTATAT